GCTCGCTAGCAGCCTCGCACCGAGGACCTATCCACGTCATCATTTACCCAGAATGCTTTGCGTGTAAATAAAATGGCTTCGTCCGTGTTAAAATATACTTTTAAACTTTTAGTTTGAAAATGATAAAAACCAAACAACCTACAGTATTTTTACAGTCTTTATTTTACAGTTAAATACATGTTTATCAAATAAAGTCTAATGTTACAACTAATCAAGGATCCCTTTAAAGTTTAAACAGGTCACAGAAATCTGGACTTTACATTGTGAAATGTCATTTTGTCTGTTTTTTATGATCTGTTTCTTGTTGATGAATCTTTTGTGTTGCTGTTTGTTTCTTATGACTTCTTTGGTTACTTTATGTGTGTTTTCATCTGTTCATTTGTGTCATCAGTTCATCTGCTGTAGTTCTGCCCCTCGTAGTTACTTCCTGTCAGCCTGCCACTCTCACCTGTCCCCATTCATCTCCATGTCAGCAGTGTGTTAGTGGCCTTTCTACAAGTCTGAGTTTCCACGTGTTCCTCGTATTTCTGGAGTTTGTTCTTTGCGATCCTCCTTAAGTTTCTTATGTAAGTAATGCTGCCACATCAGCCTCTTGAGTGAGCTCCTCTGTCTTCAGTTTGGATCCAGTCCTCCTACAACTTCTACACCTTTAACAGTTTTTATGCGACTCATGGCTGCTACGATTAATTGACCTTAGAAAGCACAAAAATGGCTGTAATTCAGAATATATTGTATTTATTGTGCTAAAATTAGATTTGGTTGTAGCTGAGAGACATTTACAACAGAAGTTTCAAGTGTTGCACAAAATGTTTGCTTCAAATTTTACCGTTAACTTTTGGAGTCAACCCCTTGTGTCCGATAGCAAAACAGCTTCAGAAAGAAATATTTGAATATGATTTTGATTAATCCAGTTCAAGATGCAGTGGCGGATCTAGGATTTTTTTTTTGAATACGAGGCCATTAAGGGGCCACAATATTTTTTAGAGGGTAGTATTTATTTAACATCTTTGTATACAAATCTGATTTTGGTATGATGTAAACATTTAACCAGTCACACATGTTCAAACACTTGTAATGTAATTAAAAAAATCTTGCATGTACATTCTCCTTACAGGTTTTACATGTATTTTTACTGTACATACAGTAGATCAAATACTCTCAAACACACAGCATGTAAGAAAATCCAGCCATTGTTTGCTAGTGGAAAGACGTTTCCTGCAGGATTTTTTTAAATCTCTAGAAGAGAAGACGTCTATAAGTTTAATTCATGTCAGACTTCTCTATTTGACTCATTAGCGCCTCTAGTGTTTGAACATGAAACTGCACCCAGCAGCATCACTCTTGGGCAAAGGACAGATGAGGGACAGGACAGG